GATGATCTTTGTAGTGATAATGACGATGGATTATTGGGTCGTTTTGTGGTCTCTTGGGGTGTTCTTTTGGTTGAGATTTGGATGTTTTGTACTGGAAGATATTGGATTGTTGGCTCATTTTGTGGTTTTGCCGCGACGCGTTCAACTGGAGATGCATGTTCCATGATTCGATGTTCGATGATTTTCGAAGGTTTTATGGGTGTTACGGTGGGATAGAGATAGGAGGTATTTTTTGGAGAGAGGTGTTGGTCATTAAGATTTGTATTGGAGGATAATGGCGATGGATCGTTGGCTCATTTTGTGGTTTTGCTGCAACGTGTTGAGCTGGAGATGGATGGATTGGATGTTCGATGATTTTCGAAGATTTTCTGGGTGGAGTTACAGTTACAGTGGATAGAGAGACTTTTGGATTGTACTTAGGAGATATTCTTTGATAGTGTCGTAAGTTTTGCATCGGAAAATAATGTGTACTGTTGAGTGACAATTCTTTTGTATCATTTTGTTCACAGATGGCGCGACAATATTCCCTGTCCAGCTTCACCCGCGGCGCGGATAGTTCCCGACCGAACGTATCGGTTCGCGCGCGCGGCGTGTATCGTTTGCTTTCAATTAGAGAAAATTACGGGACAGAGAGATAGCGAGGGCAGAGGATGGAACGATGTTTTTCCGCGGGTATCGAACCGAGGTCCACAACTCGGGCAACGCGGAAATTTCCCGTCGGAATCTCTCATCCGCCGAAATATGCCAAACGGTATGCAACTGGTCGCGACTCGCGTACCACGAGCGTCGCTCGTGCCACCGTGTTGTTCTGTCCCATAGTCTACAGCTCCGTTCATAAATATTCCGCGGCGTTGAACCATCGCGGACCAGTGATCTTCGAAACGAAATCTGAATTTTATTTTTGGAAGAGCTCGTCGCGTTCGGAGACCTATTGGAAATGGGCGATGAACCCTTTGCACTCGAAAGTTCACTGGAAATATTCAATATTCTCCGGTGAGATACGGATGTTCTTTGAAACTGATTAATGAGAAATCATGTATAAATTAAGGACAGTTATTTTATTTCAATATTTCATATATCGATGCATCATACAAAGCTTTATATTATATATGAGACTTTATAATTTTGTAAAATCGAATCAGGTGCTGAGAGTCACCTCTCGAGTGCAAAGGGTTAATCATCAAGTTAGCCCTTGGCTAACTAGATTTTACAACGTTAACTTATTGCAACCATTTCTTCTATATTTATTTGTAGTATCACAATCTTACCATTCACGTTTAGTGTTAAATCGGGACAATTGCTATTAAGTATTGAGCGTGTTTGAACTGTTTAAGAGAACTTTCTATAGTTTTATAAATTGCATGAAATTTTGAATGGAAATAATTATTGCACGAGTTTTTTTCAAATTTTCTTCATTTCAATGTCAAAGAACTTCTTGCTTCGAATGTTCCTTAATTAATGCCATTGAATCATTCAATTGGTTATTTTATAAAATTCATCGCGAAGTTCTTTGACATTTGAGACGAAAATTCGAAGCGTTGAGTTAGTTGTTTTCGACCCGAGAACTATTCGTTGGATTCGTGTGTTCTTATGAAGCTAGTAATTAATGTGGCGCGCAGTAAATTGACGTTAATTGGAAACTACGGATAAGAAAACAATGAAAATTGGAGCGACGTGTAACAATTCGAATTCCCGTTTCCCGTCACCGGTGGCCGCGGCTCGGCTAACCGCCGTTTCCGGCGCGCTCGTCGTTGTCTTCGTTCCACCAGCGCGACGCGACGAGCCCTTTGACGCGCGTGGAATTTCACGCGAACAGGTGCGACACACCGTGTCCCCGTGTGTAACAGCGTCGCGTTAATTCCGCGTCGATTTACGTCAGTGAATTAATCGACGGCTGTGGATAACTTATTCTGATAAGGGGTTATTTGAAGAGGAGCGTTCATTTCGATAGGAATAGCTAAGCTTGTCGACTAGTGCTTGATAGCTAGGGCTTTCGCTCAGATCTTTAGTGAAAATATTTATAATGCAAATTTATGATAGATATTTTTAGGAGCAATATAGATTTAGTGAATAACTATAGCTTGAAAATATTGGAATTAGGGAACCGGATTTTTCGAAGGCAGAGAAGGTAGGGCTTTCGCTGAGATGTTTAGTAAAAATATGTATAATGCAAATTCATGAATGATAGATATTTTTAGGAGCAACATAGGTTTATAAAATAACTATTACTTGAAAATACTAGAACCCATGAACCGGATTTTTCAAAGACAAAAGAGAGGAGGTAGGGCTTTCGCCCAGATTTTTAGTAAAAGTATTTATATTGCAAATTTATGAATGATAGATATTTTTAGAAGCAACATGGGTTTAGTAAATAACTATAGCTTGAAAATATTATAATTAGTGAACCGGATTTTTCGAAGACAGAGAGGAAGTAGGGCTTTCGCCCATGATTCTATAACGAGATGTCGGCGAAAGCCCTAGGTACTTACCATTTCTTTCTGCCCATTTGAAATTAATAAACACTCAAATATTCGAAATACTCGATTTCAATATTTCACTACCGAAACCTTCTCCTCATCCCCAATTTCCTCATCATTTCCCGAAAGCCAGCAACCCATCTCCAACCACGAATCACAATGCGGCAAACCGAAATGCAACGTGACAGCTCCGCGAAGTCGGTAAAACTCCGATTCATTCATTAATTCAATAATTCCTTCATTAATTCAATATTTCGCATTCCATTTTATAGGGTTAACCCATCGCGGACGAAGATTCTTCGAAATATACAAAACCATCGACAGATGAAGCTAAATTATACATCAATTGCTTAAATAACAGAAAGAAAGGAAACTATACACCAATCTCTTGCTGTTTCAATAATTGAATCATTTGCCTGCGACTTAACCCTTTGCACTCGAAAGTGTTCCACTGGAAATATTTAACATTTCTCACCGAGATACAGACGACATTGTATAAAACTAATTTAACGAAAATTCACACATAAATTAAGCGACTATTTTACTGAAATACTTCCTATAGCGTTACAAAGTTTAATTTAAAGTACTAAATATTCAACTTCGTAGTTTCGCTGTATCGAATCAAGTAACTGAGAGTCACTCGAGTGCAAAGGGTTATAATAAATTATAATCAAAGGGTTAATCTTCCGAATATGGACATTTGAACTTCTTCTCCGTCGCGCGCCGTGGCAACAGAAGCGGCGCGAGTCGCATTCGATCGGTCCGATAACGGCCGCGGAATTGATTCCGTTCGACGCGGCCGTTATCGGACGGTAATCGATAGCCGGCGGGTAGGCGATCGGCTCGGCCGTCAGCCGTCCGCGTCGACGACCGTGAAACGCGATAAAACCGATGCGTCATCCCGCTCCTCTCCCATTGATTCCCTCGAATCTGAATCGAATGACTCGCCGAATCTCCTCCGACGATTGATTCACTCCGCGGAGCTTCGAATCCCACGCGACATTGATTTATCCGTTGTCCTCTGCTCTTAGCGATGTGCCTGCCGTTACCGTTGCCAGAGAAAGTTAGTGAGAGAAAATAAAATGAGATGAGAGAGTGAATATTTCATGGGGATTAGCTGGATTTCATGTGAATCGATGTTAAAGAATTATTGACGTCGTTGAAAGGGTTGACAATTAGTTATGAGGCGAAAGCCTGTGCCGCTATCAATGGAAGCCCATTTTCTGTCATCAATGGTCTACTTCTCGAGTTAATGGGCCTGTGTCGCTGAAGAAATAGTAGTGCTTTTGATAATGCTAATACGAGATTAAATTTGTAATCACTGGTCGTGTCTAGTATCTTAACGATGTTTCTATTGACGTAACGAAAATGAACCTTCAATTTAAAATTGATAATCTTTGATAACCTTTATCGATGCATTGCTAAGTAGTCCCTATAAAAGTGATTTTCATTCGAAAAGTAACAATATCGCTCATACTTTCCAAGTTATCGAGTTTTATTCAGAAAACGGTCGCCTGTGGACAACCTGAAAATTCGACTATCGGCGTAACAAAAATGAACCTTTAATTTAAAACTGACAACCTTCGATAACCTTCATCAATACATTGTTAAATAGTCCCTATAAAAGTGATTTTCATTCGAAAAGTAACAATATCGCTCATACTTTCCAAGTTATCGAGTTTCGTTCGGAAGACGGTCGCCTGTGGACAACCTCAAAATTCTACTATCGGCGTAACAAAAATGAATCCTTAATTTAAAACTGATAACCTTCGATAACC